ATTGGGCCTAGAGGGTCACACACATATGGTAGGCATTGCGATGAGTAGAGGTTCGGATATGAGATATCCGACGGAGCCCTTGTCTTATTGGATGCAGATCCAATACCCACTAGGGGAGGACCCATTAGGGTTTGACAGGGGACCTCTATAAATAGGAGGGATTCAGAGCCTCATAGGCTAGAGCCTTTGCTTGTCTTTCTTATTCTCATCTTCCTCTCTACCTCAGAGCAGGCCTGGAGTTTTGAGGAGCGTCGTCGCAACCCTACTATGTGGATCACCGCTAGAGAGGAGGACGCTTGACCTCTTTCACCCTCTCCTAAGGATCTGCAAGGAAACAGGGATATACGATCTCCCTAGGTAACACAATCTACTCTATACGTAGTTTTAAGTTTCACGGATTTTGCGCACCAATCTTCGTACGACGACGAACATCTCTTTGGGAATCAGGGATTTTGTTTTCTTGTTCTTCCGCTGCGCATGTGATGTCGCCCCCATGATTTCCCAACAATTACATCAAACATCATATTTAAAATTTTGTCCGTGATAGTTCATCGGAAGTTCTGCCGGAATTGACCGAGAAGTCCAGGAGCTTGCCAAAGAATCTCATCGGAACTCGCCAAGAAGATCGTCGTGAAGTCTAGGAGCTTGCCAGGAGTTTGTTGAAACATTGTCGAGAGATTGTCGGAAGTTCACTGGAAGATCGTCGGAAGCTCGCCGGAAGAAACCTAGACTTATCGGACTTATTTAGCTTAGTGTATGCCTTAAAATTCGTAGTTAGCATATAATTGGGTTGGAATTAGGCTAACTCAATTAGGGGCCAATTGGGCCCAAGTTTGGGCTGTGTTGGGTCAAGTGAAAAGACCCAAACAGTGACCCAACATGTGGAACCGTCGTGGCATAGTCTCCGAGACTATGTCAGGTAGTAGTACCACCCAAATACAGTTTCCAAGAGACTGTCAAGTGGTGGTACAACCAGACTGGGAGGTGGTACCGCCTAGTGGCAAGGTGCCAAGCGGTGGTACCACTAGATTGGGCGGTAGTACCGCCCGGTGTCAATGCTGCAAGCGGTGGTACCGTCAGGACCCGAAAAACTTGGGATGAGATACTTTTAGGCTCTAAGTTTGAATGCACTTAAGGCCTATAAATATCCCTCTCATCCCTGGTTAATATACACAAGAATTGAGAGCAAAAAAGAAGAAAAATATTATTTTAATCTTATGAGAACTCCTCTAAAAGCTCTAAGTGTTAGTATAATTTAAGAGAGGAGTAAGTGGGAGTGAAAAGGTTGTCTCCTAAACCTATGAAAAAGAGAAAAAGGGTGTAAAAGGATAGTTGATCTTCGCCCATTGAAGGAAGATTGTTAGTGGATGTCGATGGCCTCGACGGAAGAGGAATCAGTGGAGTGGATGTAGGTCACGGTGACCGAACCATTATAAAACGGTTTGTATTTCTGTTTTGATGTTTATATTTATTGCAAATTGCTTTATTTCCTCGTTACTTTTGCTACGCATCCTTCCTATACTTTCAAGTTAATATCTTTTCGAAACGGTTTTTCATCGTACGAAGAATTTTTAAACCGACGTGATTTTTATCTACTGCACTAATTCACCCCCTTCTCTTAGTGCCGACTTAATCCTAATAGTCTGGGCGGTATAATCGCTTGACAAAGCCATGGAGATTGAGCTCTAGTGATACCATCGCCTGATAGGGTAACTATGATAATTAAGGCTAAACAATTACAATGCAAGCAATCCTAGTTGTCCGACACGTCAATTGTTCATCCGAACTCCCGGTGAAACTTCTGGCGCACTCCTAACGATCTTTTGGCGATCTTTCGAGGAACTCCCGACAAACTCCCGGCGAGCTTCTAACGCATCATCCGAACCTTCAGCGTATCCCCCGATTCTTCCGGCCCGATGCTCGATCTTAACTCCGGCCCAACATTCGAATTTTTTTAATTTTTTTACCTTTTCACGATTGTAATTAGTTCTACATCATTTTTCTCAATATATGGATTAGATCATTAATTTATTAATTAATTTCATCATCAAAATATGAGATTTAACATATTTTACTAATATTTATTTTTTAAAAACTTGGATAAAAACATCCTCACTCTTTATATTAAATTACATTGACATATATTTTTCTTTATCAACCTGATTTGGTTTGGTTTGGTTCACCAACTCCTCGTTGGTCTTCTCTTCCTTCGTTTGCTCCTCTTTTTATCGTCTCTCACTTCACCTCCCATTTTATCTCTATTTTCTCCCATATCTTCTTCTCCTTACAGTTTACTCAAAAAAGTTATTGAACTTGAATTATAATCATATTACACTCAAATTATACTCATTCATATAATATATTAAAAATATAATAATTTTATATAAAATTATTCTAAATTTATCATAAAATAAAAAAACTTAAGCTATTCTAAAAATATATTATTTTTGTATAAATTTATCTAAAATTATCCAAAAAATTATTACACTCTAATTACACTCATTCATAGAATATATTAAAAAATATTAATTTTTATATAAATTTATTCTAAATTCATCATAAAACTAAAAGTTTAATTTTTATCCTATAAATATATCAATTTTATATAAAATTATCCTAAATTATTCAATAAAACTAATCATAAGATTTTTTATTTCCTATTTCTTTTATCAACCTACTTATACTTGAAATTGAACCAAGTCGATCAACTACCTTATTTTAGAATTAGTACTTTTTTATTTTTAGATAATTTTAGGATGATCAATTATCAAAACTTTGATAATTCTATTAGAATATGATTCTAACAAAACTTATATTATTTTTACCTTTATAATAAATTTAAGATAATTTTATATAAAAATTAATATTTTTTTTAATAAATTTATAAATAAGTATAATTTGAGTGTAACGTAAGTATAATAGACTTTTTCGATATAGACTATGAGGAGGAGGAGATAATAGAGGAGGGGAGGAGGAAGCCAGCGATAGATGGAGTGTGAGGAGGGTTGATTTGAAATAATTTATTAGTCTAAATCGACTTAAAATATTTTAAAAATAAAAGAAAAATTAATATTTATGAAAAGGAAAAGCTTGAATGATTAGTGAAGTTGCCATCCCATACAAAAACGAATGGTGAGGACACTATTTGATAAATTGCCCTAATTACTTTTGTGTGTTGATTCCTCAACACAGTTGGCATTATAACAATTAGAAAACACATTTGTAAGGACAAATACATTATTTTTAAAATGCCAGGATATGTGTGTAAAATTACCAGATGCATTAGGGATCCCTGAAGGGGGAATCGTGCTCTCTGAGCCAACGGGTTGGCGTTTCACAGAGTTGATACTTTCGGCAACGCACGAAGAATCCGTTGTTCTTGAGAGGGAAAAAGATGGAGGAGACGCCACCATCGCCGACCTCGCTGGTTGTGAGCAGCCCGAGGCGAACGCTGAGCCTACTCAGAGAGAGGAGGCAGAAACATCCCATTCCCGATCCCGACGAGAAGGCCGCCGCCTCCGCCGCTGCGGCGTTCGCCGAGGAGCATGGGCCGAAGCCTTCCGAGGTCTACGGTTTCGTCGGCTGCATCACCACCGTCATTGCAGCAGGTGTTTGTCCTCTCACTGCACCCGATTGTCCAAAGTGGATCATTTTGCCTGACAAACAACTTGTGTGTTTTTCGTTGCCTCATTTTCTTGATGTAGTGATCTTTATAGTGTGGGCGTACACTCCTGAGCCGTGGTTGCATTATTTGGGCATCACCTACTATCCTAGTAAGTAAGTGAGTTTTGATTGTATGCTTGTCTTGTTTCTTTAATACGATATGATTCCTGATCATGAGTCCATACTAATGCTTATAACCTGATTGATGCTTGTAAAAATGCCCCAACGAAACATGTTAGTCAATTATCCCAAGATTGATATTTTGATATTTTGTGGCTTTTTGCCTTCTCGGAAATAGGAAGATATAGTGTATCCTCAGTGATCTATTTATTTTGTTGTTTCATCAATGTCGGAACTACAATTGGAGGTTGGTGTCACATTCTGTACGAGGGATCGTGATATCGCAACAAGGTGCATTTTGTTCGGATGTACCAAGTATCTTGATGGTTAAGCTTTCAGACAATGTTTTTGCTTGCCTAAATGTATTAAAGAAATAAAGCTGTGAGTCATTGAAAATGTCTTTTAGACATTAGAAGCTCGAATCTTTCTTTCATTAGGGTTTGGTCCCTGCCTTCCTGACAACCTTTTCACACTGATCTATTTATTTTTGTTGTTTCATTGATGTTGGAACTACAATCGGAAGTTGGTGTCACATTCTGTATGAGGGATCATGATATCGCATCAAGGTGCATTTTGTTTGGATGTATTAACATAGGTATCTTGACGGTTAAGCTTGCAGACAATGATTCTCCTTTCCTAAATGTATTAAATAAATAAAGCTGTCAGTATTTTCTAAAAAAGCTGTGAGTAATTGAAAATGTCTTTTAGACATTAGAAGCTCGAAACTTTCTTTCATTAGGGTTTGATTCCTGCCTTCCTGACAGATTTTTCACACTGATATATAATAAATCAATATGATTCACTTCTTTCCACATATTGCAGTAAATATAGTTGTATCTTTTTTTAAAAATAGGCAAGGTTTTTCAGTATTAAAATACTATGATTTGGCTCTTTGTCATGCTTGCTTTGCATTTTTTTGGTAATAGATAAAGCAGTACTGATATCTCCTGATCTCATGCTAAATTGCTGATAGAGATGCATTTTTCTGTGGCTTGAAGTTTTGGATTGAAACAGATACTCTTCCTTTTGACTCTTTATAGAAATGTGTTTATCATCACAGAGTATACCTTCAAATAGCTTATAAGTTTCTAGTTCTGGGAGGAATCAAAAGCAGCTAAAATTAACATGTTGGCTCTGAAAGAATTTACATTAATTGTGTTAGGTTCGAGTCACACTAAGAGGGGGGGGGGGTGAATTAGTGCAGCGGATAAAAACATCGGTTTGAAAATCTTTCGTTCGATTAAAACCGATTTCGGAAAAGATGTTGACTTGAAACACGTTTGGAAGAGTGTGCAGCTAAAGTAATGAGGAAGTATGGCAGTTTGCAATAAATGTAAATAGCAAAGCAGAAATGCAAACCAGATTTTATATTAGTTCGGTCGTCGTGATCTACATCCACTCCCGATTCCTCTTCTGTTGAGGCCACCGGCATCCACTAACGGTCTTCCTTCAATAGGCGAAGACCAACCACCTTCTTACAACTCTATTCTCCTTTTGCAGGCTCAGGAGAGAACCTTTACACCCTCACAACCTCCTCTCTTAAACTTCACGAACACTTAGAGTTTGAGAGAAGTTCACACAAAATTACAATAGCGTTTTCTTTTTTTTTTTTGCTCTCAATTGTGTAAGTTAACTAGGGATGAGGGATATTTATAGGCTTTAAGTATATTTAAATTTGGAGCCTAAAAGTGTCTCATCCCGGGTTTTTCGGGTCCTGGCGATACCACCGCCTGTGTTGGGCGGTACCATCGCCTGCAACACTGACATTGAGCGGTACCACTGCCCAGTCTGGCAGTACCACTGCCTGACACCCTGCCACTAGGCGGTACAACTGCCCAATTTGGCGGTACCATCGCTTGACATAGTCTCAGAGACTGTGCCATGATGGTTCCACTTGTTAGGTCACTGTTTGGGCCTTTTCACTTGGCCCAACATAGCCAAAACTTGGGCTCAATTGGCCTATAATTGAGTTGGCCCAATTTAACCCAATTATGTGCTAACTACGAATTTTAAGGCGTACACTAAGCTAAATAAGTTCGGTAAGTCTAGGTGTCTTTCGGCGAGCTTCCGGTAAACTTCCGACGATCTCTTGTCAATATTCCAGCGGACTCCCGACAAGCTTCTAGACTTCACGATGATCTTCTTGGTGAGTTCCGACGAGCTTCTTTAGCAAGCTCTTGGACTTTTCGGTCAATTCCGATAGAACTTCCGACGAACGTCCGGACTTCCGACGAACGTCCGGACTTCCGACGAACTCTTGAACTCCCAACGAAATCTCGTTCTTAACTCCGGGACTTCATTTTGCTTTATGCCTTGATCGCTATCGTAGTTAATCCTACACACTTAAAACCTACTTCGATCTAGATAATTATTACAAAGCTTGAATCAAATGTCGTCCGGTATGTCATTGGTTCATCGACGCTTCGTCCAATTCTTCGGCTCATCGTCCTCTCTTGTAGCCTATTGCCTAATTGGCCAGTTGACCTCTACAACTCCGATTTTCTTGGCGCAATTTCTGCTCTTCTTATCCCGATGCCCGAACCTATGGCCCGAAACCTTCTACCGATACGTCAACCTATCATCCGGCTCGATGTCCAATCTTCTGACATGTTCTACTCCGGCCCAACATGATTCTTCCTGCTTTAATTGTCTCTCCCTGATCGAAGCTTCTGCGTCACTCAAAACGCAGATCAAATCATAAACACTATCAATTGGTTTCATCATCAAAATCCGAGATTCAACGAGCTTCCCCTTTTTGATGATGACAATTGATTGATGACGGAGTTAACCTTAACTCCCCCTATCAATATGTCATATTGATAGAACCTTGATTTCAAGTTGAATTCAAGTCAAAGCAATATTTCATCATGAATATATGCAACACATTATATGCATATCATTGCATTGCATGTTTATCATAAGTTTTGCATGCATCATCATAAATATTTCAAATCATCATGATATCAAAATATCAAAGTATATTACATCCTACCATATATGATTCTCATATCATCATATCTTCTCCCCCTTTGTCATCAACAAAAAGGAGAAGTGCAACTATCAAGTTTTAGATATGTAATTTCAAATCATTGCATTATAAAAATAATCTCAAGTTTTATCATCATGCAAGCTAGTAGTTTTCTTTCTTCTCTTTTGAGAAGTGTATGCTAGCAATTTTGCTTCCTTGCAAGTTTTTCTCCTTGCAATTTATAAGCTAGTAAATTTAGCAAGTGTTACATCATATTAGAACATGCAAGCTAGCAAATTTATATCATTTTAGAGAATGCAAGCTAGCAAATTTTACACATATGAAAGTTAGCAAAATTTTACATCTTTTGAGATGTGTAAGATAGACTATATTTGCATCTTCTTGAAATGTGTAACTTAGCAAACATTGCTTCTCTTGAGATTTACAATATAGCACTTCTTGCTTCTCTTTTAAGATGAGCAAGCTAGTAAGTTTACCTCTTTTCGTGATGTGCATGCTAGCAATTTTTTCTCCCCCTTTGTCATTGGCAAAAAGAGAGGAATAATAATACAATAGTGCAATTCATTTCCCTTTACTTCAATCTTCAAATCATGACAAGGATAAATAACAAAGATGATGAATCAAGTTATGAATGTCAAAAGACCATATATTATTTTTGACAAATTTCTTCATTTGTAAATAGAAAGCATGATAGGAAACGATCTTGATTCAAAAATAAGACTCAAGTTATAATTCCAAGAATTCATAAGAAAAATCATAATTCATTTGACAAAAAGATTATCAATTCATGCATTTGAATAAATATTTTTAAACCAACATCACTTCAACTCATCATGTATAATTTTAAAATGTAAAGTCATCAAACATGATACAATCATTTATTTTAAAAACATTCATCATTATTTTCAACGCATTCAATTTGTCAAATCAACCAAGTCCCTTTCAAGAGATTTAAAATGAAATGAAGAGATTTATCGATCTCTTGAAATACTAGTGATTTTCTTTCTCCCCTTTGTCATTGTAAATAAGAAGGAAGAAGAGGGGAATAATACATAATAAAACTCAAGTCAGAAATTATCAAGATGTGAAGTAGCATATCATGGTTTATTAGAATAAGTCTCCTTTTTAATTAATAGCAAAAAGAATCGTAGGAGAACAAGATCTCAATTCATGCATATAAAATATTCAATCATCAAAATCATTTTCATAGTCCAAGAGATTCATACAAATAGATTCATCAATCTCTTTTTGAAAACTCAATAAGATAGGGATTGAGAAGTTTTCAAGAAAATTGTATTTCCTTTTTATTTTATACAAGAATGCCTTTGTCATTTATGTCAAATCAAAACATGCTTCATGTTTAAAATCGAAAAAGCAACTTTCATTACAGCAAAGATCGATAAGCCATAAATTATAAGAATCATCATGCATAATTTTGAAATATAAACTCATTAAGTATGATCATTATGCATTATTACTTTGGGCATGATACTAAAATATGGTTTCAAGTTTTTAAGGTATAACATGCACAATTTCAAACTATAAACTCATTAAGCATGATATCAAACCTCTTAATATTTTCATTAAAACATCAAGCATAGTTTCATTGAACATAAGGCATCTTCAATCAAAATCGAAAAGCAATACGGAAATCAACATGATACACACTATTGCTTCTTAAAAACATACATAAGATTAATCTTATTAGGTGTACAAGCATTAGATTTATATTTAACATTTTATTGTATTTTCATAAAACATACAATTGTCATTATCATTTTTAAAATTACTAGCATGATCCCAATTTTTTATTTTTTATTTTTATTTTATTAATAATTTACATATAATTTTTTTTAAACTAATTTAAAAACAACTCATGAAATGCATCAAGTAATTTCAAAATAAAGCAAAGGGATTTTGGTTATCTCGTTGTTGAAAGCCGTTAAGGCGTAGTTTGCCACCTCGCCTTTGTTGGTTTTTTCTTCATCTTCGGATGAACTCGATTCGTACCAAGCCACCTTGAGTGTTTTCTTCTTTTTTTGTAGCTTCTTTTTAGGTTCATTTTTGTTCTTTGATTCTTGTTTTAAGAATTTTTTAAGCTTTATAGTTAAGAGTTCAAAGTCATCATCACTTGAGCTTTCGCTCGAGTGGTCTTCATTTGTTCTAAGTGTCAAATCCTTCCTGTTCTTTGGAAGGTTGTTCTCAAGTTCGTCAAGTGCCACATAAGTCATTTCATAGGTCATCAAAGACCCAATAAGTTCTTCAATCAGAAAATAGTTCAAGTCCTTTGATTTTTGTATTGCCGTTACTTTCGAATCCCAATTTTTAGAAAGTCATCATAATAAGTTCAAGATTCGAAAAACTTTTACCAAGAGCTTTTAGACTATTGACGACATCCATAAAACGGGTGTACATGTCTCCAATAGTCTTGTTTGGTTCCATACGAAATAATTCAAAATTACGTATAAAAATATTTATTTTAGAGTCTTTAACTCTACTAGTGCCTTCGTATATGATTTCAAGTGTGTGCCAAATGTCAAAAGTCGTTTTGCAAGTAGAAACCCGATTGAATTCATTTTTGTCTAAGACGCAAAATAGAGCATTCATAGCTCTAGTATTTAAAGAAAAAGTCTTCTTCTCCAAATCATTCCAATCGTTCATTGGAGGAGAAGACCTTTGAAATCTATTTTCGATCATATTCTATAAATTTAAATCAATAGAAAGCAAGAAAACTCTCATTCGAGTTTTCCAATATGTGTAATTCATCCCATTGAACATAGGAGGACGAACGATAGAAAGTCCCTCTTGAAAGCCGAAAAGAGCCATTTCTCTTGGGTGTTAAACCAAACGAAAAAAAACGTGGCTCTGATACCAACTGTTAGGTTCGAGTCGCACTAAGAGGGGGGGGGGGGCGGGAATTAGTGCAGGGGATAAAAACGTCGGTTTGAAAATTGTTCGTTCAATTAAAATCGATTTCGGAAAAGATGTTAACTTGAAACACGTTCGTAAGAATGTGTAGCTAAAGTAACGAGGAAGTATGACAATTTGCAATAAATGTAAATAGCAAAGGAGAAATGCAAATCAGATTTTAAAGTGGTTTGGTCGTCGTGACCTATATCCACTCCCGATTCCTCTTCCGTCGAAGCCACCGGCATCCACTAACAGTCTTCCTTCAATAGGCGAAGACCAACTACCATCTTACAACTCTATTCTCCTTTTGCAGGCTCAGGAGAGAACCTTTACACCCCCACAACCTCCTCTCTTAAACTTCACGAACACTTAGAGTTTGAGAGGAGTTCACACAAGATTACAACAGCGTTTTCTTTTCTTTTTTTGCTCTCAGTTGTGTAAGTTAACCAGGGATGAGAGGGGTATTTATAGGCCTCAAGTGGATTCAAGCTTGAAGCTTAAAAGTGTCTTATCCCGGGTTTTCTGGGTCCTGGCAGGACCACCACCTACAACACTGACACTGGGCGGTACCACTGCCTGACACCCTGCCACTGGGCGGTACCACCGCTTGACAGTCTCTCGGAGACTGTGTTTGGACAATACCACCGCCTGACACAGTCTCGGAGACTGTGCCACAACGGTTACACCTATTGGGTCACTATTTAGGCCTTTTTCACTTGGCCCAACACAGCTCAAACTTGGGCCCAATTGGCCCCTAATTGAGTTGGTCCAATTCAACCCAATTATGTGCTAACTACGAATTTTAAGGCATACACTAAGCTAAATAAGTCCGATAAGTCTAGGTTTCTTTCGGCGAGCTTCTGGCAAACTTTCGACGATCTCTCGGCAATGTTCCAGCGGACTCCCGACAAGCTCCTGGACTTCACGACGATCTTTTTGGCGAGTTCCGACGAGCTTCTTTGGCAAGCTCTTGGACTTTTCAGTCAATTTTGGTAGAACTTCCGACGAATGTTCAGACTTCCGACGAACTCTTGAACTCCCGACGAAATCTCGTTCTTGACTCCGGGACTTCATTTTGTTTTATACCTTGATCGTTATTGTACTTAATCCTGCACACGTAAAACTTACTTCGATCTAGACAATTATTACAAAGCTTGAATCAAATGTTGTCCGGCATGTCATTGGTTCAACGACGCTTTGTCCGATTTTTCGGTGCATCGTCCTCTTTTGCGACCTATTGCCCAATCGGCCAGTTGACCTCCACAACTCCAATTTCCTTGGCGCAATTTTCGCTCTTCTTGGCCCGATGCCCGAACCCATGACCTGAAGCCTTTTGTCGATACGTCGACCAATCCTCCGGCTCGACTTCTAATCTTCTAACATGTTCTATTCCGGCCCAACATGATTCTTCCTGCTTTAATTGTCTCTCTCTGATCGAAGCTTCCTGCAGCGCTCAAAACGCAGATCAAATCATAAACACTATGAATTGGTTTCATCATCAAAATCTGAGATTCAACAAATTGTAGTCATTTCTGGCCTTTTGTTTTCGTTTCTACAGCCCTAATGGTAAAGATGATAATATTTCAGATCTCATCATTAAATATTTAGCTTTCAATATTCTCTAGATAATGTGAACATGTAGAAACTGAACTTTCTAACTTTCTTAAATTGAAACCTCAAAGGATGCATCAAAAGGTCCTAAAGAAGTGCATAAGTTATAGAGGTTACTTAAAATTTCCCCTTTTCTTTCAATTATTTCTCTAGCTTGTTCTTGAAAATTTATTGCCTTTTTAAGTATAGTAATATACTTTTCCCCCAAGTGATGAGTGTAGAAAGAAATACTTGTTGATATTTCGATTAAGAGAGCCTTACCGAATTTTTAGGGGTACAAATTTGATGAATTAAGAAACTAAATCATACAAAATCAGGAAACTAATTTCATGAAAAAATAAGAAACTAATATTTACTGAATCAGGAAGATAATCTCCTTGAAATCAGGAAAATATTTTTTTCAAAATCAGGAAAGTAATTTCCTCACAAAAGAGGAAATAATCTCCACAAATCAACAAAGAGGACTGCCAAACTGACAAGACCAAGATTTATCTTGCACAAGCAACAAGCAAAAAGAAAGAAAGTGTTCATGATCATTTATACCCTTTGACTCAACTTGAACTCATGGAGGATTTTTTGTTACTTTCTCATTGATATTTAGCATAGAATGGTCTCATCTGGTTTAAGGATCAACTTTGATCTAATTGGAGCTATTATGTAAATAAATTATTGTCATTCTTGAGGGATTCTATTTGATTATGTAGACTTGTAATATATACGTGAGGTGGCTTAATTAGTTTGCCAAATTATCATGACATGTAATTGAAGTTAATTACGTGCAGCATAGGTCTAAGTAAATTTGGAGCTTGGTGTAGCCCACGGTCATGTTTTTATTATTCTAATTAACTGTACTATCTTGTTATTATTAATTATAAATGACAGTAAGTATGGGTGGATGAAATAACTTATAGGGGCATGTTTGTTCACTGGATGCTTTACTTGTCAGAGGATCTGTTTCTACTGTAGTTGTGACCAGACACTATTCCAGAAATTCATTTCTCTGATCAAATAATGAATATATGATGACGTAAATAAACCATAATATGCTTGAACTCTGAGGAGAGGCTTATCTTTTCAGTTAGTCTACCATGCTAGCCATTTTTCATTTGTATGTAATAGTCATGTTAGTATTGAGATGTACTCTTGATGATGGAGGTTGATGCCAATTTGTTTAATTGAATTTACAATCAGGTACTGGGCAATAGCAATTCCATCTTTTCTTATTGTAACAGTGGTCTTGGCGATGGTTTCTTACCTTGGTTTAAACTTCATGGTGACTCCTCCTCCAACTTCGTTTAACATAATGTTTGGTAAGTGTCTTGCTACGTTAATGGTAGTCTATGTTACCAACTTCATTTGATTAATAACCTAGTCTATATGATTTTTTCTGTTCTTGTTCAGGTCACTCACTTATGGATGCAACTTTTTTTCTAGTCTTGAATATCTAATTCTTATTGGGCAGGCATATTCTTCCTAGAAATATCAGTGTTAAATAAAACTCTATATATATTTCTTCTGGTTGATGTAAGATTGGAAATAATTCATTTGGATCCTATTTCTTGTATAGAAAAGGTTTACATAATTTAATTTTCCTGAATAATTGATGGCAGAACCTGAAAACTGTTAACTTTAACCAAGATTTATATAATCTTCATGTCGTATGTGAACTTTGGAATTTACATATTAGTTATCTAGCTTTTGCATGCATGAAAAGTACATTTCTTGTGAACTCTTATGGGTGCATTTTGGTTTTCAGATGAATATAGCCGAGAATTCTCTACAGTAACATTTTTGGGCGGAGAGGAACGACCTATCGAGCCTATTTCTGATATCGGTGTTGATGAGATAAATAATATTATGTTTGGATGAAAATCGAAGCATACACACAAGACGAAAAGAAGGGAACTGTCAGTCACCAACTCGAATTGAGCAACTTGTCTGCATCAAAATGGTGGTTAAATTGATTGCCATCTCCATGTGTGAAAGAGAAAGCTGATGCTGACTACATAATACGATCTACCTTTTCTTTTGTTTCTTCTGAAGGATTTCAACTTCATATTGGAAATTTTGGAGTGAAAATGTACCATCTGTGAGTTGATATTTCATTCAACCAAAAGCAGGCATGGCTTGCTTCTTGTTTGACCTGCGAATGTGAACTTAATGAAAATGCTCGAGTTTGGTTCTTGTTTGACGTGTGAATGGGAACTTAATGTCAATTTCATTGCTCAAGCATATGGATGGATGTCTTAAAAATTCTAGATGTAAAATCTCTAGTATTTTCCCGTCTCCATGGTTCAAGTTTCCAATTAATAGAGTAGTATTTCATCAAGGAATACAAGATATTATAGCTTGATCTTGTATCAACGGGAGGTTTAAGCATTTCCTGGTGTCCACCGAAAACATTATCATAAGAAACCCAAGTAATTCTCACATTTATCTCTCTGAACTGAACAAATACACTGAATCTTATTGAGCAATAATTCTGTTTATTCTTATTTAGTAAAAATAGTTGGGAAGAACAATAAAAACCTCGTGACCACTGTCTCAATGTTACAAATCTATCAGAAGCATCTTTCTACTACTACACTTGTATTCCAGAGTCATATATGTCTCCTGCAGTCCAGTTCTGAGGTATGTTATTGGGAGGCACCACCCATGTGTCATCTCCATCATCGCCTCCACTCAACAGCATCCTCACAGAGAGAGGCCCCCTTGGTGGAGATGCTACCGCCCACACTGCTCCGTGGCTCCTCTCCAACAACTTACAGGTGAAGTTCTCGGTCTGCAGTAGTAAATCCAAAGTCAATAGGTAAATCATTAAGTATCTAACAATGCCATCAAGCTGTGTAGTACCTCACACAGCTGAACAGCAGTAATATCCTTGTTCCCTTGCTGATACCATATCTGGAAGGCAAAGTAGTAGAGGTTGCTGCTCTGGTCAATCTTGAAGGTGATGTTCTTGTTTGGATAGCTGCATGATACCCTGAGGTGCCATTCACAGCATGAACATGACGAGTGTCTTCATGTTCTTCACACTATCTGACTATATATCATGCTGCCGTAGTACTGAAATCAGCTGAAGATGAACACGCACCTGCGGTATTCGATGCCGACCGCACCGAGAGATAGAAGGGAAGCACCTGCATCAGCATTCTGACCCATGCGAGCGAAGGCGTGCTGGCTGAGAATGAAGTCGGTGTTGCCACTTGCTCCCAAGTCCGTGATGACGATCGTGACGCCGTCGGTCGAGCAGTACTTGGCATCCGTGCATCGCACCTGACGAGGTACTGCAAGTGAGTGACGTGACAAGCGAAGCAATGGCGGAAGAAGAAGAAGAAGAAGAAGAAGAAGAAGAAGAAGAAGAAGACCTGATAGCATGCACCGCAACCCACGCCATTCCTGTACAGGTTCGACGCTGCCGAGACGTCCCCGCCGTTGAGCGTCGCTCCGAACGTGCCATACTCGCATGCACCAGCTGAAGGTTTCATGGACGAAAGGTAAGGGGAGAGCAAAACAAGGTTTCATGTTTCATGCATGTGTCCGCAACTTACTCTCTGTCCCTTCTTTGTCAGAGTTAGGGTAGTAAGCTGCACTTGAATGGGTAAAGCAGCCACTGCAGGTATCCCCCTTGGCCTTAGATTGGCAGAGAAGCAAAGGTAAGAGGAGAAGCAGAAGTTTGTGAGCGGAGAGAGCCATTGGATGAAGAGGAAGCAAGAAGAAGAGATGGTGGGCAATGGAAGCTCACGTTGGAGTATTTATAGTGGGCATGATAGACACCAATCTGGATTGGAACAACTTTAGGTGTTGACATTCTTTGAGATTTGGAATGCATCCCGTCATTGACATTGCAATCACCTTCTAGGATCTAATAATGCCAAGTATCATGAAATGCAAAACAATTCACTGGTTAACCTTGAAAACATAACTTCGACAGGAAGATTCATGGCACAGAGTGAGTCGGGAGAAGAAGAGGCTGCACTGAGATGGAAGTCCAGGGTGGTGGCTTTACCAGAGCATGATGGTTGAAGAAGGCTTAGTGCTCTTGTACCAACTGCAGGTTGAACAATATCCATCCTGATAGAAGAAGAAGAAGAGTTGGTAGATTGACTTTAGGAATTCTGCATCTCCCACAACCCGAATCTTCACGGCATCCCCACTAGTGCTTGAGATTACCTGGAAACTCTGAGTCCGCTGCCGTCGAGGAAACCAAGAGGAAGTGCACTTGCATTCTTCCTTTCTATCTCGATCGCAAGTTGCATGGAGTGGGTGAGTGCCACCTAATGGTAAATGGTCCCTCTGCTCATGTAGCCATCGTTGATCTACTGTGCTGAGATGATAAGCATACAGACCATTCATGCATGTAATGCTTTCAAATCAGATGTCCAAGTTACCATATGTTCAATATAGTTAGGCAGGCAAACACCAAGGCTGTGGGGTTGCAGTGGAGGCCACAGGAGTTGGATGAAGACCGTGAGTCATGTCATCACATCAACTATGACATAAGATAGCATGATGAGGTTTACGATCCATCTCTGCCACAGAAGCTTGAGACATCAGACTTTCCATCTTTAGGATCTGTCATCTACAAGCAGGCACCGAAGCCATCTCTCATCTGTGCGACTTTTGATGTTAATGAGACTATTAATTTAATACTTTAATAATAATAATAATAATAATAATAATAATAATAGATCTGTGATTCAAAATTTCCTTCATCAGGATATTTATTACACCTGAAAAGAGGAATGAGAAACGAGAATTTGATCCCCCAACTCCACATGCATACTAAGTGTAGGAGAGCGAAGAAATCAACGAAGATGGAAACCATGGCACAGAGACTATCTATAACTCAAATAAAATTCTAGAAAGAGAAGAGGAGAGAGCTAAACAAAAATAAAGTACGATTCCCCATAATAATAATAAGTCCAAGTTCACCACTGCTGCTTCTTTGGAGGGAATCACAAAACAGTAGCACATTATCAGACACTTGCACACAAACAAAAGCAACAACACAAGAAAAGCCATGAGAAGCCATACAAGGAAAGGCGAGGCTGAAGATTCTGCTGCTTTGTCCTCCCAAAAAGCCAGTGAATTGTCACGAGGAGTACTGTTGCATGCTATCCCTCAGAACAGCATCTGCTTGACAAAACATAGTGGAAGCCCTCCTCGAACAGCCTATGCATTTCTTGATGTAGAATTGCTTCATTAGGGTGATTGATGAAGCCCATAAGAAAGACTAATATCAGTTGGGCTCATATTAAATATTGGTTGCTGGTTAAGATCACTACATTTATGAGATCTTCACTGGTATAATAAGCACACATGGTTCAATTAGGTGAACACACTCGGTTCTTTCAAATTATATGTTTCTTGTGTTCTTTGTAATGGTAAGTGGGTAACACATATTAGATGTTGGGATTTAGGATTTTGTTATTATTATTGCTGTGTGGATAACACACATTAGATGGAATACATCTTCGCAAGTGAACTTTTATCACCTCAGGCGTGTAGATGTAAACTTGTGAAGTCTACTAAAATTGGTAGATTATGAGCTAACCTATTAGATTGATAGGGATGTATTTAAAACTGATTACATAAAATTTGATAGATATGATATGATATAAGCTTAGATGGATATGATATAAACTCATTAGCATTAGATAAAATTTGGATGTTGATGAAATTGTTTACTTCTGCTTTATTCAAGCCCTCCAAAATTGCTTTGGTCTCCTCAGCTTGCTTCACTTCCTGATTATATATCCATTATATATCCGAAATTTACAAGATCAGAATTCACAAGTAAAGATTCATCACATTCAATTGTCTACTCGGTTAAGGCAATAGAATTATGAACTTTGAAATTATTAAGTACTTTGTCATTCATCCTAACAAATATCAACTGAGTGAATAGGAAAAATATTAATAATAGACTTTATGAGAGTAGTCTCACTAGCCTATGAAATAAATGGATTTTTTTTTCTGTCTCTTTTTTTGTAGCTTTATTATCAACCATGTATTGAAATCTATAGACAGTCTACCCAAAGACAGTTCATGACCAAGTCCACTCCTTAATTTTGAGACTATTTAGATATATTATCTGAATGATGGATCATCATATCAGGATTTTTGGGTTTCATATATGAAAAATAAAACTCTGATACCTTTAGAATTAAAGGAGAAGATTTCTTTCTGTCCACCATATTCATGCTGAAAAGACTTCCAATCATTTGATATTATTTTTTTTTAATTTAATTTTTATTAGCGTGAAACATGAAAAAAATAACTAAGGAAAAAAAAAAGATAAAAAGAGGACAAATAACAAGGAGGGAGGAGGAGGGAAAGTAAGCTCTATAGTCTACGTCTTGAGAGGGTGAACTAAAGAAGAAGGTTCAGTTACCTATCACCATTTCCTCTTGGCTTAGCATTATCTTTGGTGCGGAGAAGTTTCATAATCTAAGAAGAAGCAAATTAAATATGACTATTTAAAAAGACATAATAAAGGTGTATGTAACAATTCTGACATAAAGACCCCTAAGAAAATATAGTCATAGAAACTTAACTTATAGAATCAAGTCAAAGCAGCACGAGATTAAAGTGGATACCAACTAGATATTTCATGTTAATATCTCATCTAAAAGTAATATTCCTCGAGAATTTAATATTCTTTAACTGACAATTGCTACGAAATAAAAACTAAATAAAGAGTTTCTATTTGTATATTTTCATTTCAAACATATTGAAGGAATATTTTGTTGAGCTAATAGGCCATAGTGGGCTTTAACATTCCACATCCCACCCCTCTTTCACTTAACCCGAGATCAAATTAGGGGGGTATGGTGACTACGATTTTTGAGAGAGAAAAACTGTAACAACAAGAAAAACTGTAACAACAAGGCAGATTTTGCTATAGTTATGTCATTCCAAAAATTAGGAGAAAAAGATAGAAAAATAAGAGAAGGAAAGGGAAGAAGACAATGCAGAGAGGCTATTCTCAATTATCCAAGCAGTATTGATCAGATCTATAGTAAATTCTTGCTCTAATTACTTGAGGAGAATGACGTAATCCTTGTCATTTATTCTCTTGTAATTATTGCTAGGGTTTTGGGTAAAATATTAAAATTTGTATATTCATTATTCTTATAGTGGATTATCTCTAGTTTGCCTCGTGGTTTTTACCGTTCACGTTGGAGAGGTTTTCCACGTAAATCTTGATGCTATATTTAATTATGATTCTATTTAATTTCGCTACGTGTTATGACCTGCTAATATTTATTCATATACATAAGTTTATTTCTCTTTATATCCCATCACACTTAACACTAAACTTCTTACAATTTTTTTTCCTATAATAAACAAACCTAACCCTTAGAAGGATTTTGTTTGACAAACCTTGAACGTATAAAAATGGGATACACAAATATTTTTTTATGGAATTCAAGAAAAATTCTCTTTGATCAAGCAGTAATTATTGAATTACAACCCCTAAAGGATAACTTATTTCTCTCTTCTAAATATGAAAGACTTGTTATTGAGATCTATTGTAAAAGGTTTTAGGTATGTAACTTGGGCTCTCTCTCTCTCTCTCTACATATCCCGAGTATAATTTTGGAGTAAATCTAGCTAAACTAGACTAGACTTGTTATAGCTCGAACATTGGACCAAATATGCTCCGAATCTATTTAGGTATAGATTAATTTTAATCAAGATTAATCATATACTCAACATGGAGTCTTCTAATTTGAACTTAGTTATTAACATTATTATTATGCTGCTGTTGCCGAAGGTGATGGAAGAAAGGGCTTCCGGAAGGTAGCTGGTCAGTGCAGACGCATCAATGGATGTGAGATATGCACACACAAGAAAAACAAAAAAGAAAAAGAGGCCCACAACCAACATAAGTGTGAAGCCTGCCGTCGACTAATACGACATTGGCGTTGGAATCATGCAAACGCATTGCACGGAATTCTCCCTCTTCTCCCTCGGTCGGTCGGTCGGTCGTCGAAGTAAGTCTGTGACAGTACGTGCTGTTGCTGACGAACCACAAGAGATGAAGTTATTGTGAAAGCTATCGTCTGCCTTGTAGACTACTCTCGAGATATTTTAATTTCATCGTGACTTAGTCGAAGAACTCCAGAGCCGATGGAATTACGTTGGTAAAGGACCAGAGCTAATCTGGCTTCACCTGCAATGCAGTTCTGAGATTGTTGTTTGACGAAGCTTCTAAATGACTTCACAGACTTTGACTTGTGTTACCGGACCACACGCATGCCCAAAAGTCAATCAAATATCGACCCGTAAGTTCCACGTTATTTGCTTGATGTGAAGGCTTATGGTCGACATCCCCTGTGGTACGTTTTCTTTATCGTGGTCTGAGAAGCTTCTAATCAAAATAAGCTTCGTCTTCCCCGGGAAGAGTCAGTCAATTAATAATGGCGTTTGCTGCTAGAATCCAATCAGCGTAGCAGCAGAAGCGAACTCGTGAAACGTCCATTCGAACGGATCCAACCTTTTCCATATCTTCATCCTCTTCTTTAGTGGTGAGACGAGTGGAAGATGAAGTGCAAGAGGCACCCCTTCGAGGCCGGTGTGGGCGTCTGCGCCTCCTGCCTTCGCGAGCGCCTCCTCGCCATCACCGCCCCCGCGCAGGCGGCCTCCTCTCCGGAGCACCCGTCGCCTCTTCCCTTTCAATTCCCCCGCTCCGTCTCCCCCTACGCTTCGCGGCGGTACTCTTCCGTGGTCTCCGCCCTCTTCGGCTGCCACGGACCCGGCGACCGTGACAGGACGCCCCAGAAATCGAGGTCTTGGCTCTCTGCGCTCCTCCGTGGCCGCCGGAAGAAGAACATGTCGAGCGTGTATTCCCCGGAAGACGCCGCCGCATGGCCAGGCCGGGACCCGGAGCCT